TCTCTCTCCCCTCCTCTCTCTCTCTCTCCCCCTCTCTCTCTCCTCTCGCTCTCTCTCTCTCGCGCTCTCTCTCTCTCTCTCTCATGTATATATATATGACTCTGGCCTGAAGGGGGAGGGGAGCTCGACCAAAACCGCTCACGTGTATACATACCCGTGTGTTTATCGGGTTGAACGTCCCCTGCTGATTCGAACTTCCTTGTTACGAATAATTGCACAAATACACGCGTACGCGTCGAGCGAGCGCCCGCCCGGCCGACTGTCCCAACAGCTCGAAACGGCGATGTCCTACCATTCCCTCCGCCGCATACCTGGCTGTCAGTGGAGTATTGTACATGCGCTATCGTCCTATCTAATAATCCACTTGTCCTGCTCACTCTACGCGCGAGGGTTCGTCTGTCATGTAAACAGCAATACGCAGGTACACCTGTAGCGACAACATTCATGAGGTCATGCAGGAGAATGGCAGCCGCGAACGATGTGTATAGGCCACGCGCGCGCGCGCACACACACACATACCTACAAACACACACGCGCACACACACATACACATACGCGCGTTCACACGCACATACCTACAAACACACACGCGCACACACACATACATATACGCGCGTGCACACGTATACACACGCACGTACACACACATACATAAGTAACATATATATGCCACACGCGCGCGCACACACATACATATACGCGCGTGCACACGCACATACCTACAAGCACACACGCGCGCACACACACACACATGCACGCACAACACACACACACACGCACACACAACACACGCACACACACACGCACGCACGCATGCACGCACGCACAACACACGCACACACACACGCACGCACGCATGCACGCACAACTCGCCACTGAGCTGTGATGTGGAACACGGAGCAGAGCAGCTAATCGAACGATGGAGGGAGGTATGGAGTGTTCGATGATGCAGGCAGCTGTCTAGCCGTCGATGCAGGCAGCACTGACACTGACGTCTCGTGTCACCTATACGCGAGAGGCCTGTCTGCTCCCATGTCAGTTGGCCACACAAACGCAATTACTTTCGCGGTGGTTTAATTTTCGCGAATTTCGCGAACGCGTCCCCGACCGCGAAAATAACAACACGCGAATAATTCATACCGTATAATACCAAATAATTCATAATTCTCCGACCGCGAATTTAACCACTCGCGAAATTGTCCGTCAAGTCTAAATTCGCGAATATATCTGTACGCGAAAAATATGGCGTATACAGTAGTTTCTCAGTGAGAATGAGAACGCTTGTTATGTCCAGAACACTCAGTATGACGCGCCTACTGAGCGAATTAACTTTAAAAAACGCGGTCAATGGTTTTTTTTTTGCTCTAGCCGAATAGCAAGACCCCTGCTCTGTCCTGTGGCTACTAGTGATGTGGGGACACCCACTGCTGGAAAGAGTGTGGATCTGCTTCCTGTTATTGTTGTTATTGTTGTTGTTGTTGTTGTTTCCTGCTGTTGTGCGGTTGCGGTTACGAGAGAAACGGCTGGTTATCATTTTGCTGACAGTCATGCGGATTCTAGCGACGGTCGTGCGCGTCAGAGTACATGATCAGTAGATCGTTCATTTCTAGATCAGTTGTCATTCCCTACGTGACAATATTCACGTAACACACCCGTCAGATTTTTGCTGCGATGCGTAGAAGGAAGCTGAAGTGCCAAGCCATACAGCTTCACCAGCGTGTAACAGACGAGCAAAGACGCTGCAGTTAACCTGCGAAAGATTGCGTCCTTGGCTACGTTCTGCCTGCCGATTAATTACCTAGTGTTGTTAGGTGCACTGATGCGACTTCCTAAAATAAAGGTTACAGGCGACAATACATCTTATATTCGCACGTTCTCACTTCATTGTAAACCTAGTGTTGCTGAGTCGCGCATGCACGGGCCTTCACAATACGCGACACCAAAAACGATTGACCACACAGTGAAATTTCGATTAGAATATCTGTAGCACTATAATGTTTACCATATTCGTGGTGCATCTGTCGATACATTTATTACTATTCTGATTGTTGTTGTTGTTGTTGTTGTTGTTGTTGTTGTTATTGTTGTTGTTGAATCTACCGTCATTAGTCTGTGTGTGGCTAAAAGCTTCCTGAGTTGGTCGGTTACTTAGGCGTCATTCGATTGCGTTTTTGCCCGTCTTTTTATAGCAGTTTTTGCCCGACGTCTCTCATGCGATTAAGACGGCAGAGTACTGTGAAACAATACGATAATTCTTGCACCACTTATCCGATCAAAGAAGAGAAATGTTATGAGCATTGGCGTTTGGGTTTGTCTATATTCCGGCCGGTACAGGAGATAATTTGCATATTTTGTCACGTGGTTTGTGTTATAACCAATCAGATGTAATCGCGGTGGAGAAGGAGGGGAGAAGCTGGTGGAGAACCAGCTTCTCCCCTCTTCCTTCTCCACCACCTTCTCCCTTCTCCCCTTCCTCCTCCTTCACCATCTTCTTCACAGCTGGAAGTGACGTCACGAACACGCGATTACATCTGATTGGTTATAACACAAACCACGTGA